CACAAATAAAAAAAAAACATTCACGAGGTTACAAAAACTTAGATTTTTATTTGGTGTCTAACCCAAAAGATGTCAGAATTTTCTATACTTAGCCATGAATAAGGAAAAATATAGAGTTAGTGAAAAAAAAAATTGAGAATTTTCATATCTTTTTTTAATGTGACCTCACTCACCATGGTCGATCAGTAAGTTTTAGTGGACACCGAACAAAAACTTTTTGTCAAAGCCAACGGAAACATAATTACATTGAAAATGTTAGGTTATTTTCATAAACATTTTTGATCACATTTAAGTCAGTGCGACAGTCGAAAAGAGAGGTTAAAAAGTCAGTTGCTTCATACGATAAATACACAGGCTTTCTGGTTGTCTGGTCTCGACGTTCCGTCCGGGTGCACCAAGAATCCCACGCTTGATTTTAGACGTAATATTTAATCGCTCTACTCCCCACCAGGGGGGAACAATAGCTAATCACAACCCTGGAAGCGGTCGAAATCGCTTTTGTGCAAAGCCTTTTCAAACGCTTCGACGTCCCGCTGTGCTCCTCCTGAGAAGCCATGCTTGATTTAAGATTAACTGCGACAGCACTGTGTCAGCCGCTGCGAAGGTGGGGCCACGCACAACAGCACATGTAAACATTGTGAATGCAACCACAGAACGGACGCAGAGGAACAAAATTCGTCTAACGAAATGATCACGGGAGCGTCTAAAGCTTTCGTGATCGTTGAATTGACAACACAGTTGGGTTGGGGGTATGACTAAAGCCGAACAGTGGAAAAAGGTTGAAGTTCGACTCCTTCAGACTGTTAGATAAGAATCTCGACTAACCGCAACATTAAGCACTTCCATTATCGCGTTATCAGGGTTTATCATGTTGAGGTCAATTCAGAAAAGATTTTTCCGAGAATTTTTCGAGTAAACAGAAACGAAATATCAGTAGAGGAGAAAAAAAGGGTAGTTGTTAATTGAATCGATAGTTTGCTTGTTCGAAAAAAAAAAAAGAAGCTCTCTGATACGATAACAATACAGTGGAGCTAACAGCGTGAGTACAGAAAAAGATTTTGTTTCCTACTTTGCGCCTTTTGAATGACAATGTTTCCATATAAATCATGCAATTTTTAAAACAAGGTACACTACAAGGGAAGTAATGAGGGTAGCTATTTTTACATGAACCGCTATCACAAGCACGAGATGTTATCACTAACGGTATACTTGCCCGTAAAGAGTTTTGGTATAGAACTCAACATTGTATGTTTATGCAAATTTCAAGGGATATTGATATTGGCGCCTTATGGTTGTTAGGGTTATTGCGAACAGGCTCCTAAAACAGTAATTTTTATGCAGGTACATATCATCTCGATAATACAAACATCACCAAAAGTTAAAAAGATATTCAAATTGATTGTGATACCTCCAAACTTAAGGTTGATAACAGTACGAAATGAAAGCGTATCTTTAGAGAATGTTTGACGTTTTGCCTTGAGCTTTAGTTCATGCCTTCTCTAATTTATTTTTAAAATCTTTCTTAATCAGGCGTTTGATGAGAGACAGTTTCATAAAAAAAAATATACGTGGATTTCGTAACACTTTGATTTTCATTATCCTAGCGACCGATTGTTAGCGGAAGTCGAAACCATGAACACCAAAAAAAGTGCAACTGATTTCAAGGCGGAACTTTCAGGAATATAGTAGTACTCTACTTTTTCTCAGTCCCAGAACTCGACAAAAGGATGGAAATTGTCTCATTAATTCGTTCTGTGTTAGCTGAATGCTCTTAATACTTGTTCCACGACCGCTTTTTGAATTGATTTCCTCGTAAAATATACTTTTAGAGTTCTCGACATAGGAATTGTTAAGAGTACTAGTATATTTTTTCCGAGGTTGAGGAGTGCCTAACATAAATGGCATCAAACATTCAGAGAAGAAAGCAATAATAATAGTAACAACAATTAGTTCCACAGAGAAAATTGTAACTCTTTAACAAGGCATGTTTTCTTTTCTTTTCGTACGGATTCTAAGTATTCCTCACACTTGGAGCTAAGCTTCACCAAAACAAACTTTACCTACAACAAATATGTCCCAGTGGAAGCTAAACCTAGACATAATTGCCATGCGATGGAAACAGGACCAAAACTCCTCGCGAATTTAATTAACAGTCTACAGTTTAGCATTACAAAGAGATAATTCGAGAAGGCAAGTCAAGAGGCGTTCGCACAGCTCTTAGCAGTAAGTAATTATCGCAAACAAAGACAATATCTTCATCAAAGCGTTTTATAACAATGCCGTCAAAATTGTTGTGGCTACCGTGACACGTGCACAAGCAAAGAGCAAGCGGAATTATCTCAAGAGTCTAATGAACGTCTGCACCAGATGTTTTGTTCTTCGCGTAAAAAAAAAGAAAAGAAAAGAAAAGAAACATCGCGAAAGCACAACTGTCATTCTCTTTGCAAAGTTCTCCAGTTTGACTTTCAGTGCTGGAGGAAGAAAGAACTAGACAAAATACACTCAGCTCGAAAATATCATTTTATGCCTTCCATTAGATGAGAGCTTGCAAACGAGCAGTTCTCAGTTCGAATGTTTCTTATAGAAAAAAAAATTGACATAGAATAATTTGGTTTCTCTAGCAAGACTAAACTGGGTCCCCAGTCTCTCTCTGTCTCTCACTGAAGATCTCTTCTGAAAAACTACTGGCTACCGCAAATATTTTCATCGCACGATAGTTTTTCTTGGTAAACTTAGTGAGGAGTAATACAGGAAAGAAACTAAATAACTGAAGGGCATCACTGTCGTTTCCACAAAGACCGTTCAGAAGCATCCTAGTCAATTGAATTACGACGAACGGAGATACTCTGTGTTTCATCACTGAATTTCCTCCAAAGATTACCTGCGATTTTACTGGGGAAGAAGTACACATTTTAAATTCGTTTTTACGAGAAGTTTATATCACAGAAAGAGTAGTCATATGTCTCAAATCAAAATTACTGTATTCCAATTTAACAGCTAAACGCTGTAATTTTTACATTGTTTCTGGACTTTCGAGGGTTACTCGAAGAACAAAGTTGGCTAGCCGAAACAATTGTTGAGGTATGAAACCAACTCTGTAAGAGTTAAATAAATTGGTTAAATTTTCAGTGGTTTGCCAAAGACTTCTGGTTCTGTTTCCGGCTTTTCTTTCAAGAACGGGTCAACACCTACTCGTGGTATCACCGTGTTGACACGATGAATGGGTGATAAATGTAACTTGTTGCAAAGTGATACGGTATTCTCGACTTCCTGACAAGCTGGGGAGGTGCGTCAAATTACTAATCCATTAGAAGATGCACACAAGGTTAAAGCTATTTACTAAGATGCAACAAAGCTGAAGAAGATGTCTGTGATCAAAGCAATATTTGGAGGCCGTTCTTCAATAATCCGCCAAAACCTTCTTGAATGAAATCTTTCATTTTCAAGCAACTACTATAGTTAATTCCAGTACTGTAATAAATCGGGTGCATTGTTACTTATCATACATAAAAATCCGCCCTGTTAGTGAGATAGCTGGACTCTTTCGCACTCTCTAATACTCGACTGACTCAGATTGTCGAAACATAAGCCAGCCACTGTTACCGAGCCTTTTCAGGACAACTCTCAGCCGTACGATCAGAAAACACAATCAGAAAATGTGTATCGCTCCTCCAAGCACAGAACAATCAGCGATAAATTGTCTTCTTTCTTCTGGCTTTTTTTTAATAATTTTTTTTTTTAAAATGAAAGATTTTTGCATAGATCAAAAGGTTAGCGAACAAAATTTCTTATAATAAACATTCTCATTCGTAGGTTTTGACATGCACATTTTGGAAAGTTCGGCGACATGCGAGATAGCGTCTTAAGCTTACGGTCTTAGCAACCATAAAGTTTAGGTTTCATTTGTACTCAGTTTGACAATACCACTACAAGATGCATGATGGAAATTCTAGTTGTGATAAGTTGATATAACTCGTAGATAAATTATGTGACCGTAGTTTATTGGAAAATTGTACGAAATATGAGAGATGAGCAAGACTGCAAGGTGCACAGTTTTAAAAGCGATATAAAATTTGGATCAAAAATTAGATTTTTCGTTTAATTTTTGCTGCTTTACCAAATCATATGAATATGACAGTTTACGCTGGTAACTCTTCTCCTATAAATGTATCGTTCGTTGCAAAACAGAGAAAAACTTACAAGAAAAGGAATACAGAGTACGCTATCGAACTTTATCATCATAAATAAATCAGTCTGGAATTGAATGTACAAGACTCTAGTTTAATCCCCTTTTGCTCTGATAAGTATACCGCGAACTGCTTAAGGGACTGCTTAAGTTATAACACATCAAACTGTCCATAAACGTGGCTTAGATCAGTTAATGCGATTTCCTTAAAAATATGTAACCTCAAAGGGATAGACGAGAATACATTAGTCGCTAGGAGACTCTCAGAGGTCAACATTCAAACAACAGTAAGGCATTGTTTGTTACAATATGACACGAAAAAACATTCGTGTTGTGGTATATATTCACAGCATGATACGAATGCCGCAAAAACGTGATGAGTGGCTCTATGATGCTCTACCTGGGAGGTGACGAATCTTGTGGTTTTCACTTTATAATTTTTAGTAAATATTTTGGCAAGCTGTTGTAGCAGATCTTTTGGCGAAAGCATGTACGTCAGTTGTCCATGTCATTCTTGGACTATGGTCGTTGAAACAGAATAAGACTATTTCAGACCTCAAACCTCAATTGTTAAACAGAACTTCTCTAATTAAAAGAAAGTCTTAGAGTATGCAGGAAAATATTGTTAGCTTTCAATTAGGATTATATATAACTAACAATTAATTACTGCCGATATTGACCCTACTTCAAATAGGAGGGGTTGTAATAACACTTGAAACAGATTAGGTATTAAGTAGAATAAAGCGTAACCTACCGGAAATTAATTGCATATGTTTCATTTCTGAGTTGGAAACGTAAGAATTTCTACACTGACCTGTTGATAACTGTTCAAATTCTCCATCTGAGAGTCAAAGATTTGATAGGCAAGAGAAACGATGTATATGGTGCTTAAGCTTCTATGAAGATTCTCTGCCCTTGGTAAACACTTCTCCACACCCGATCATCATCAGACGTTGGACATTCTCGTCGAGAACTTGAACATCTGTCAGTGCAATATTAGAATGCCATCTTCCTCGTTAAATGAAGAAATAATGACGATGGAACGTTCGGATACGCTGGCAACGAAATTCATCTCTGCTGCACGAGCAGAGACAAGAGGCAACAGCCCATTATACGGACCCTACTGGTTGGTGTTCTGGCAAAGGGATGTTTCCCTAACTAGAAAAATACCGTTTACAATATATTACAAAATTCTCGAATGACAAATATACCCCATGGTCAGTTTAGCATCCTGCCGTTAAATCAGTATTTTATTTAATGTTTTGCAGAGCATAATTACCACAGAACAGTAACTGAGCCACTTTGGCCAAGACGCCTTCTTTCAAGCCGCAACAAGAAGCAATCTCGACAAGAGAATTTCCGCTCAGGATGTACGTAAAGCCCCCCATATTTAGCCTAAGGGTCTAAAAATGTTCCAGAAAGCTGCGTGGTTCAAATTAGTAAGAGTCCTCTCGGATAAGAGATATACACTGGCTGCTTCCCAAGAGGGAAAGTCGGTGGAAACCTCAAATGCTTGAATATCCTCAAGCTTTCAGTTTAACTCGATTGGGAGACAATGGGAGATAATAAGAGGAACAAAGACGAACTCTCGCTAATACAATCAACCAACCAACCAAACAAACATAGTAAAAACGAGCCCACAAAATAAAAACAGTGAACAAACAAAACATTATCTCCAGAAAAGGAAAAAAAGTTGGATAAAGCATAACTATTAAAAGCACAAATAAAGAAAGCACAGTACACTTAAAACACTTTGTCAATTAAGATGTACGATGCACACTACCTCAGCTATTACATTGTCTAAAACACCCGTTTTCCCCTTTATTTCTCAGCCCCTTGATCTCGTCATGTACTCTGTGACATTATCAGATTTTTATTTGACGTGAGGGAATTTTCTGTGTATGATGGCAATATGGCAGGAAGACGGTAAAAAATCACGAATCACTGTAATACTACTCTTCTTATTGACAAACCTCTAACAAATGAGAAACCTTGACTCTCTGATCATGTTTATTGTAAAAGGCGCTGACGGCAAAGAAAAGGTGTGATATACCCCCTTCTTGTAGTTTAGTGCGTCTTCTCTATTCCTCACTGCCATGACTGATTATTACGTGCCTTACGGGTGAATGGAGAACAATCGAGGCTACATGCCTTACCTTATCCGATTTGGCTTCCCTTCTGGCCATTTCCTACATTATCTTACCGCGGATACCTCGAAAATATGAGTCGATACCTGACAAGTCAAAACAAATAGTGCTTCAGTCCACAAAATTTTTCAATACCAGTTCAATACCACGCATTGCACCTTCAAATATTTAACTGAAATTTTCCACTTTGACTCGACTTCTCAAAATTCTAATTAAATTTGATTGATATGTATAATGTACTGAAAAAAAAATTTAAAGGAAACACCTTTTTCCCCTCTTTCTGGTTATTGCTTCTCAACCACCTGCTGACCCGATCTCCCGAAAACTCGCCAACCCTTTCTAAATTCCCTTGAAGGTTAAAGTTTTCTCAAGTCTACAATCTAGTCTTGGCCTTAACGCAGATCTAGACCAATTATATCTTTTCCTGGTCATAAAGAACGTCAAAGTTGAGTCAAATTCAAAATTCCACGTCCTCGATTCTTTGCATTTGCCAGACAAACGCTTCCAACCAATCAGAGCCTGCTTACGTTGTATTGCTCATGATAGAGTAATAACCCTGAGACTTCAAAGACGGAGGGGTTGCAGTTTTCCACAAAACGTTCTCGTCAAATGACATCAAAACTCGCCCACTCTGTATCCAGAACACCCCCCCTCTTACGGCCTCCTCCCAGACCCTCCCAAATCACTGAGGACACAACCCTTAGAACTATCAGCAGTCATTTGAATCATACGTTTTGCTCGAATTATTACATATCGTACTTTAGTAATGCAGTAATTCCATATAGTGGCATTTTTCTCTCACTTGTAGCCTCGAGAAAACACCTAACTGATTGTACTGTCTTAACAATACATCTGCTCTTGGGATCTTAATGCACTCTTTCTGACGTCATTGTCCAATTTCGAACGCTATCGCTCCACTTCGGATGCCATCGATCCATTACTGACACTTTCGTCAGATTTCTGACGATATCCTCCCTTTTTCATACTACTATCCATTTAAAGATACCTTCGTGAAATTTTTGACGCTCTCGTCCGATTTTGGATAATATTGTCCGATTTTTGACACTATAGCCGTTGCTGTCCGTTTTGGGACACTTCCCTCCGATTTTGTACGTTGTCATTAGTCAACGGAGTTTTTTTTAGACCATTTTCGGGCGCTATAGCTCAATTTTGGACGGTATCTACTGCTTTCTGACACTTTGTCCTCTTTCAGTCTGATTATGGTAAGCACAACATCTTTCAACCAAAGTTACCATACTCTGGCCATAATTGAAATAAACTTGCTTCGATTTGTTTTTTTCTCCCCTTTACTTCTTTTAATCCCCGATACACCGGACCATGTTTCAATGATAATGAAAAGACAACAGGTACAAGTAATGACTTAATTTGTCGTAAATAAATGTAGTGATAAAAAAGTCGACATCAACGATAACGCTTAGAAATAGTGTTTTAAAATCCGTCAAGGGCACGACACTCACAAGAGATTTTCACCGTTCGCCAATTTAATTGTGGATTTTACTATCAGAGAGGTGCTGAGTAAAGAATCAGTTTCTCTTTGAAGGACTCGCACCATCATGAACTTGTCAAATCGTTATTTTGATTCTGAAAATTAAATCGCACAACATGTAACACTGCATTTTAAAATACTGAGAATTCCTGGTGAACTTTAACAAAATCTAACTGGCACCCCCATAAGACTCTCCGTTTGTTTTAAATGCTTCAATGATAATTAGGATGGAAACAATGCATAACAAAACTCGGCTTTCCAAACCTGTGCCAAAACTTCTACAACCACCCTAAAAAATTCAAAAAATTTTCGATTCGATTTTGCCGTGTAAACCCACCAAGGCATCAATTAATTCTTTTAAGGCAACCTGCTCTCTGCTTGCTTGGGCGAGGTTATCCTTCCAGAGTGTCCAGCAACAAGATTGTTCAGAAAAATACGAAACTCGCAATTCAAAATATACGAATTTAGGACACTCACAATTGCAAATAATAGGAAAATTATTGAAAAAGTTGGAAAATGGGAACTTTATTCCCAAAACTAGGATAACATAGGAAACCAATACCACTATGAAGGACAAAGATTAGATATTTACACCTTTTCTTTGAAAGACGACTTGGAATTCCATATTAAATTAATCAATGCAAATTCCCTGGTTTTAAAAAATACCCGCTGAATTACTCCAGTTTCAAATTATGTGCTGTCTTTTCAATCTTTTAACATCAAACCAGCAGACAACACTGAGCAAACATAATAGATCCTCGGTGAAGTTTTAAAGCCACATTTCACTCTAAACTTGACATAAAACGACCAAAGTTCACTCTTAATTGAACTTGGAAACGATAGTTCCTCTTTAGCATGACTTAGCGACGACACTTTACCCTTTATTTGGCTTTCTTTTCTTTGATGAGGAAGCATAAACACTTGTTGAAAGGGCTTTTTCCAGTGGTTTCTGATTCTTTGTGTAATTGACTTCCTTATAATCCTGATCGTCATAGTAGCTTACTGCTGTAGGAACTTGGCTTTCTTGACTTTGATGAAGAGGAAGCACAAACACTAGTTGATAGAGCTTTTTCCAGTGGTTTCATGTTCTTTGTGTAATTGATTTTCTTTTGCTCTTCTCTCACTGCCTCAAGCTTCCTCTTTGCCTTTTCTTCATTTGATTTCGCTCTACCAATCATGAGACGCCCATATGTTAGGAGAACGTACCGCAGCTAAAAGGCCATCCGTAAGGGGAATTTTCTCTTGTTTGCAATTCCTTGGATCGTCAAACTCCCGAGCGTCTTTAACAACTCTTAGGCCAACGATGGTCCTCTCTTCAAAGAGTGTCCTTCCTTGTGTCACAACGCAGGCAGTTTTTGCCAGACTTGCAATTGCCCTCACACCACTTGCACTTTCCTTCTTCAGGGGTTTTTAAAATGGGAGGTAAGACTGCAGATATGCAATTGATTTGCTATAAAACGTACGCATGCCGCGAAGTAGAGCCTTTCGATGCTCTGATTTATCCCTACAGTCAATACTTACAAGGCCACTTGCAAACTTTTTGCATGGGCCTCTTTCTTTAAAAATCCAGTTACAACCCAACGTAAGATTTTACTACACTTTGAAAAGCCTGCAGACAGCTTACTTTTTACATAACAACCAACTTTCGATGAGCTCTTGCAGAGTATTTTCCTTCTGCTGACTTCAACAGTCACATGAAGTACAATTCATATAACTTTTCTAGGGACAAAAGATGCAGTGGGAAATCTTTGAGAAAAAATTTGGAAACAATACATCTCAAGCTAGGAACAGAAGTACAGGCAACAGTGAACAAATAAATAATTGCAGCAACTTTACCTAACTTTTAGATTCATTTAAAAAATCATGGTCATGAAACAGCTTGCTTTATGCTACATCTATACCTGAGACTATAAAATAAATTTTCAATTCTGTAACGCATGTTGCTCAATCAGCTAAAATATTGAGAGAAAAGTGTGTAACAGGAGAAAGGAATCTGTTGATAAAATAAGAAAAAATAAGACCAGAGAAATTGGACACTAAATCCTTCTCTGCTTAGCTAAATGATCATAAAACATCAGGGCTCAAATTACCTTTACCACTCTACTCGTCTAGAATTTGTTCAACCCATGAGATTGAATGAATCACATCTACCTGTGTCTGAAATAGTCTCTCCACTACGATTCTACCCAACGTTATCTAATGTTCCCTTATCTTACGTAAACTCGCATTTTATACCCTATTCACACCAGCAAAACACGTTTTGTTAAATTGACTTTTACTGAATGAAAATCACAAAGAGAGAACTGGAAAAATTTAATTTTGCGTAGGATTCAAGTACTTGCTAACTTGCATTTCCAATGTGCTATATTTTAAGTAGGAAATATTAGGTAAAGATGGTTCTACTAGTATAACAAAACAACTTTAAAACATGTTTAAGCTTTGGTGTGAATGGGTTATTAGAGAAAATTGGCAGTTTATATCATTTGTAAGAGAGCTCCCTTAATTCGCTTTTCCGACGCCCCTTTCCATCCCTGCACTGGGAAATGACATAACATTCGTTTTAAAGAAAGTTACTGCTGACTTGATTGATCACCCAACTTATTACAAGAAAACAAAATTTACCGCTCTGAATTTAACCCCTCGCAGTGCTGCGTCATTTTCTTTACAAACTTGCCCTCTCAGTTCCTTAATCATGCTTGCTATTATGGGCGTACGGAACAAGTAGAACTTTTCCATGAAGAAGGCCGTGTCACATTTTCGTGTTGTGGGACACTTCGTCAAAAAGAAAACAGAAAGTTTAGCTTTTTGATAACTGATCCCTACTTTATTACTTACAGAGCTTTATTACTTACAGAGTGACAAAAAAAAAGTTGTCCTCACATGGCTTTGGCCTGAGGTGGCCTAGTAAAATTGCAGAGAAGAAATACTGAAAGCAATGTGACAGGTTTACATTCACCAAAAAAGCACAACGGTTAACCACCAACAAGTCGTGTAAAGAGCGTTGTCAATTGGGTTCCGTGACTATTGTGAAGGTAGTGTTCTCGAAGGCTCGATATCACAAGTACTTTCACTATTCGACTGAAAATTGTTCGATGGACAAACTTTGCAAGTTTATCGTAATAGAATGAGAGCTCTAGATCTCTTTATCGTGAGAAAAGCGAATATATGTTGTGCAATGTACAGGATTCAATGATTTTGTTATTACTTGGGGAGGGGAGAGGTCTAACCCGTTCTTTTTTTCTTTCGTTGCGATAGCACGCTTGTTTCCTGTATTTCATTAAGTTTTATTTGCCACTGTTACTGATTGTTGTTTAGCTTGCCTTTGTATGTCTAGGCTATAATAGCAACAAAGAACCTGAGTAACGCTTTGTACAGCCTAAAATTTTCCGCTCAATTTTCCGGTTTGTTTTTCGCAATCTCCATCCTCAGCCAACGTTGTTTCGTAATAGTCTGCCCATAAGCTCTTTTGAGTATTTCCATCCGACAGCACTAACACTTGATAGTCTCCTGCTAGCTGAAGGTAGTTTGGCACATTATAAATAATGACGTACGCACGAAACTCCTTTAAAAGGTCCTCGAAAGGAGATTAATAAATACAACGATATTAAGACACCGAAGGCGAAACTCTTGATAATAGTTAACGTTACCTAGATCTCCTGCTGGGAGAAAAGTGGAAGATACACTTTCTACCGACAACTTGAGTAAATGCTGCAATCACATTAGAATAAACATTGCATCGATCATGTCGATGGAAATAATAAATGAAAGCTTTGGTACTGTGATTTCCTGTAAACGCTATCCAATCTTGGCGGGATATATCAGTAAATTTACAACGAAAGAGATGGACATCTCTCTCGACAAATCTTACCATTAAAAACGACAAAGTATTGTAAAATTGATGCCTGCCATTTAGTTTACATTTGAATACTCTTGAAAAGTAAAAAGAAAACAGAAAAAAACGAATCAAGCTTTTCGACAAGACATATGCATGACTTGGTAAATAGGTCTAATACCTATTATACAGTTAATGCATCATTTACGATTCTGCCACACAATGCCTCATAAAAGAGTCTTTCAAGAAACTCTTAAAAGGAACTGAAGCACGCAACCCATTGGAAAAGAAAACACTAATGGTTTTCTCTGTTTTTTAATTATGGGTTTCAACCCGTCGTAACTCAACAATGTCGGTCCAAAATAAGCAGATGGATATTCTTTCTAGATTCCTCAAGGCTGCTTTAAAAACTGTTCAGACACCGCTTAAATTTCTGTCTCCATGTGAAATTACGTCACCCACCGTGAAACAGTTGTTGACCACTGAGAGATATAGAGACACCTGGTCAGGTGTGGCTATGAATGCAGTATGAAGCGAAAGGGAATTCTGGCCTTGGCCCCCA